AATTAAATAGTTCTGAAATGCTCTTTTCCAGTCATACATTTTATATTTAACACACCTCTTCCATAAAGATTCAAAGCTAACAGTTCACATCCTGAGCACCAACGCCTACCAGGAAGCTAACAGAAGGGGTCAAAGTCAGATTGCCTTTACAATTTCCTGTAGACAGATGAAGGTGCTGCCTGCTGTTATTCCCTCATTTACCTCAGGTGAAAATCCATAGTATACACATCAAAGTCATAAATTTGCTGATCACTCCTTCAGATGTGGAAACTATTAGCAGTTGTCTTATCTCAGCTTCCACAAGTTCCATTCCCTCCCTACAGTAGTGCTATTCTCTCATTTTGATGCTGTTTAAGGCAGTACACACACACAAAGTACCACAGTGACCACATGAAGGACTCTCTACTAAAAATAAGACCATCCCAAAATCATGTCACCTCCCTACCTCTGTGAAAACTGTTTTCAAGAAACAAGAGTTTTAGGACAAGCTACCTAGGGATTAAATCTGTGGTTCAGATTTTCATCTTTGAAGTCTCCTGACCTACAAAAACCAGACAGCCCCCATGCATACACCTGTCCCTACCTATCTGTATTACTAAAGAGCTAAGCCTAATAAAACAAAGACAAAAAACCAAATTCAGCAAATCTGAGTGATATAAGATACAAAAAGTTTTACTGAAGTATAACTCAGCCTTGTTGCTATTTGTCTGTCATCAAATTGATGACGATAGGAGACAGAGCAAACAAGTTCTGAAACAGAAAACAATTATGCCAGATGAAGACGACAAGTTCTGAGGAAAGTGATAATTTTAAGTTCGGTTGCATAATCTGGTTTCTCATTTTCTGACTCAAGATCTTCTATAAGGCAAAGTTTGCAGAAGAGTACTGTGCTTTGATGAAATAAATTGCCCAACAGATGTTTTTGGTGTTTTTCTTTTTGCTTAGTCAAAACTACAGTTGAAATGTTATCTCAGTTCTGCCTCCATAGCTCACCGTTTATTTCTGTCAAGCCAAGTATTTTGTTTACTAACAAAAGAAAAAGTATGTCATGAACTGTTGTCAGGGAATCAAAATAAACTTTTCAGACCCAGCGTGTTAAAAAAGCATAGCTGAAAGGTAAGGTTGGAGGAAAGCCTATTATAACAAGCAAAAGCAAGGGTGGCAACAGTAAAACCTCATTTGTCCTGCTAAAAAACAATACTGAAACATTTTGACAGTACTAAAAAAATACTGCCTTTAACACAAAGCGAAACCTTCAGTAACCCAGACTGTGGTTTTGTATTTCCACTGTAAAACATAAAAATCCCTATGATACTTTAACAGCCCGTCTAACTCCATGCTGTAACGTATTTCATAGTTTTATTTCAATAAGGTACACTTTATATTGCCAACCAAATACAAACATTTACAGCGTGACAGAGGACAAACTTTTGAAACATAACCTATTTGGGGGAGAAAACAGATGGAAGACTGAAGAGGTAACACCATAGAAATAACTTTAAGGCAGGCAAAAAGGAAAGTACTGCTATTAATAATAGTAAAGCAAAGGCTACAGGCACAACTCTTTGCTAGCAACAGTGAATATACCTGAAACCTGCTAATGAAATCCTTCTGAACTCTGCCTGCTATCCCTACAGTCAGTAAAGATTTTCCTGTGTTTTTCAGACTCGGACTGTCAGGTTTTACCATGTTTTGTTTTCCCTTCTTTGTTAGTTTAGAAAGCCATAAGTGCAGAATGAAAGGCCTGCTGCCTACAAAATGGGACAATCACTATCTGCACAGCCTAGGAAAAGGAGTCAGAACCCACGGGTGGTTCTAAGTTACAGCTTTACAACTGACACAACAGTGCAAGTTGGACACATGACAGCAGTCTTGGATTTTAGGCTTTTTTCACCGCTCGCAAAACAACAGTAATTTTCCCACCTGAAATCCTTCAGAAGTATCCTTAATAAGTTGTAGATATTGATTAACAGCATGCATCTGATCTAATTAAGAACTCCTTACAGAATAGGTAGAACAACTTAAATCTGATATTCCTAATTTTAACTTGCTTTTGGGAGAATATCTATTATAGTCATGAAAATGCTACTTAATTTTGGTTTAGAAAATTCTGTCAATACATTTAAAATGACAACTGGGAAAACAGAACAAAGCAAACAAAGAGCAGGGTCCTGATTCCCACCCTCCTTCCCCGAGCCCCCAAACTGTAGTTTTTCAGCTTCAACTCAACTAAGAAAAAGCAGTCCTGGAAACCAACTTTTCTTCAGAAGGCCATCGTTCCCTAACTCCAAAGCACAGTACAAGCTTTTATTAATAGTCCTCAAAAAAAAAATATCCATACAAAAAGAAGTTAAAACCAAGCAGAATATTAAAATCATGCAATCCAGCACATCAGTTAATCACTCCAACAAGGGAAATAATTTTTACAATGACACAGTTACTGTAAAAGAAATAAATCCAGTTTAAGTATATAAAAAGAAACTACACAAAGAAAACCAAAAATCCATTTGACATCTCTAACCCTGCCAAGGCACCCATCCAAGTACAAGCAACAACTACCCAGCAATTCAGTCAGCCTATATCAACATTTTATTTGGGTACACGTGGAAGAATGGGATTCTTTCTTCAACATGGGAATTAAACTCCTTATCAGAAATGAGCAGTTTAAAACTGATAAAAAAGCAAGGCAGTACCTGCCATTTAGGAGGTACCCAAACCATATTTTTGCACCAGTGAGTTACTTCTGAGCACTGGCATTTCCACTCCTCTCACATCAGGAAGTTGCTTCCTTACAACACACAAGTGAAATGTTTAGCAGCCAGCCAAGTCCCCAAGCAGCAGCAGGCTGTGAACAAGGCTGCAATCACCTGCCAGCATACCTATTGCTAGCGAGATGGCACACAAGCATCACAGTGTATCCATTACATCTTGACACAACCAGAAGCCAGATCAGATCAGGTAAAAAGAACTTACATCTACTACAGGCATTCATACAGGTTTGGGTTGGAAGGGACCTTTTAAGACCATTTAGTTCCAACCCCCTGCTATAGGCAGGGACACTTCCCTCTAGACCAGGTTGCTCAAAGCCCCCTCCTGCCTGGCCTCCTTTAGGGAGGGGGCATCCACAACCTCGCCGTGTCACCGGCCCTAATAAAAGTCCCTCCCCAGTAGGCCCCCTTCAGGTACTGGAAGGCCACTATAGGGCCCCCCTAGAGCTTTCTCTTCTCCCAGGCAGATCAACACAAGACATGCACAGGCTTTCAAAAGAGTCAATGAATACCTGGAACCAGCACGCACAACAAGCAAAATTCACGTGTAACAGTCTCTACATTAAACCAGCTGGTTCTTAAGCTCTTTTGATCATCAAAATAATGATTTTTAAACTTGGATTCTACCATTGCTTTTTTAAACCTTATTTGTATTTCATGCTTTATACCTGTAAGAACAGTATTAACTCTTTAAAGTGAGTGGATTTGACTGTAGCCATGTTGTGACAGACAACATGCACACAGTTCAATAAACAATCACAAAAGCACACCTTCCAAATAGTCTCAAGAAAACCAAGCTCCCCATTTTACAGAAGTGAGGCTACACAGAGATGGTGCAAACTGTGGATCACACAAAGATCTTCAAAAGGAGCTGGGAAACAAGCACAGCTCTTTTCAAGGCCAACGCATTAGCTACAACGATGATCCTAAAAACTGCACGAATTGGATTTCAGTTGAACTGGCACAAGCACAGCTATATTCCTGTACTCAGATTCACGTGAGTGGGGCCTTCATATCTGGACCTTCTAGTTCTCTTTGTTGCCCAAGATCTTTTCTGCTGGAAAACTACTCAAACATTGCCTTTGAAAGAATATATATGTATGTGTATATAAATATATATACACACACACACACACACACACTCATACTAGTTTCTTCATAGCTATTCCAAACTCAAATATGTTCTTAATGAAATGTTGAACAGTAAGGATTCGTTCAGACTAAAACCTATAGCCATGAAAACGAATCCATGCTCCACGGCATCACAAATATTTAACAGCTCAACCAAGCAGGGTTGTCAACAGGTAACCCAAGAGATAACAACACCAGCACCGCTCTGCCGCACCTCCCCACGCTCCCTCAAAGGAAGAAATCTTTTCCTGTTCCGATCTATTTTTACAGTCTGGTGCGTTGGTATTTCTGGATTACTTCCAGGGGTGTTCTTTACCGGGGCATCGTGACCACACACGCCAGATTTCGGGATTATTTTCTCTCTTTCTCGCGGGCTGTTTCCCAGCCCATCTCCTCACCGCCCGCTCCCGTCGCAGCTCCCCTCGCAGCCCGGGGACATCGCGCTGCCCGCCGCAGCTCGGAGCCGTGCCTGCTGCCATCCCACCCCCCCGGCAGCCGGGTTTACCTTTCTCCCTGCTTGCTGTTGGAAGGCGGCGGGTGCAGCACGGTCTGGTTGCCCTCCATCTCCACCACGCACTTGGTGTTCAGCTCCAGCTCTGCAAGGAGAGGCGATACGGGGCTGCAGCCGGCGGTCGGGCCGGCTCCCCTCTCCCCGCACCCGCTCGGGTCCCCGCTTACCTCTCCTGTTCATGGGCCGGACCCTGACGGCCACTTTCACCTTGGTGTCCGACATCTTTCCCCCACCGTCTGCGCCGGGCGGCCCCGCTCAGCGGCACCGCGCGGCGCCAACGTCCATGCCGGGCCGGGGCGAGGCGGGGGCCGGGGAGGAGGAGGGGGGAGAAGGAGGAGGAGAGGGAGGCGGAGGGCGGGCGGCGGCGCAGCCCCAGTCGCCTCCCCGCTCAGCCGGCTCTGGCGCTGCCTGCCGACAGCATCGTTTGCATAACCGCCGCCGCCGCCCCGCCAATCCCGGCCGCCATCATCCGCCGCGAGTGCGGCGGGGAGGCGCCGAGCAACATCGGAAAAAGCCGAGCGCCTTCGGCACGGGAAGCGGAGCCACCACGCCTCTCCTCAAGCTACTACCAAAGGAGGGTGAGCGGACGGAGAAAAGGCCGAGCAGCGCCCCGCCGCGGCGAAATAAAGGGAGGAGCGGCGCATGCGCAGGAGGGACGGGAAGCCGGGCGTTGCGCCTCGCCCTCACGCTGCCCGCAAGGCACGTGACGCTGGCAGGCGGGGCGGCGCTGCCTTCCCCGCACCGGTTAAAAGGCGCAGCGCCCATAGCGCCGTCGTTTTTGGTCTTTGTGAGGATGAGGTGCGGTGTCGTGTGCGATCCCCCGCGCTGTGCCTCCCCATGACTACAGCCGTGGTTGGTGAAGGCGCGTGTTGTCTCCATGAGACCGCTTTGGGCATCCTGCCGTACTGCCCCTTGCGCGGAACTTGGGAAACGGCAATCCGTAGCCTGCGCGGAACAAAATAGTGGAGCCCGCAGGGAATTCTTGTGCAAAAGATGCACCGCGCTCAAATTCAAAATCTGTGAAGTGTCAAATCTGCTCGCAGGGTGCTGCTGCTCCAGACGGCGACTGGCGGATTTTCCCAAGCGCCTGCCCAAACGCGGCAGGAAGGAGTCGCGTCCCTTCCCGACCTGTCCGCTCACATCAGGAAAAGGCATTACGAACTGTAACGCCTGTTACCGGCGCTCCGAGGATGGCTTCGCTTGTAATGGATAAGCCAGGAAAGCTGTTCAGATAAACTGCAGCAGGCTTATGATCTCAGGAGAGCTTTTATTTTAAGTGTCTTGTTAAAGCCTGTTTTGTTTTGTTTTGCCAGAAGTGTTTCCCTAGCTTCAGCAAAATATTTTCCAGAGCTTCAATCCCCGTTTTCTAAATGCAACTAAATGGCAGGGATCCAAGTTGCAAAACCAGTGATATCTGCATCATTTTGCTTACTGAAGACAGGCTGAAATCCAGCCGAGATTATTCTGTCTGCTATGGGGCTAAACTACTGCAAGGAGAACGGGCTAAACGAAACAGGATAGGTAGACAGATAGCTGCACCGAGAAACAGCAGACCTTTCAAAAAGAGGTAGGAAGTGACTGATGCTGCTGCAAAGGCACACCACAGCAGCCGGATGAGCCTTACAAAGCAGCTCAGAAGAGCTGTGAGCGAACAAGCATGAATGTCAGTCCTGCCGCCCCTGAATGGCCATTGGTCACAGGAATGCTGAAAGGAAATATGAGACATGCACTCAGCGTGGTGAGGGACTTTACCAAATAGAGCCAGCTGTCTGGAGAACATCACTAGCAGAAGCTGGCATGCACTGATTTCTTGCTTGTGGAAGTAGACGTCTGGAATTAAGTTTGTTATGAAATGTGGTTCAGCTGGGAAAGATGTTGAAATGAGGCATCCTGTATATTGCTGTATACTATAAGAACCCAGGAGAAAGGAGGCGTTGGCTCAAGATGTAGCATAAGGTCTGTGGAATGGCTCTGCAGAAACTGAGTTCTGCAAAACTTGGATGTTTTTGGGAAAGAGACAAACAGAACAGATGGGAGGAAGAATAATCCCTTCTATCTCTATTTTTCACTTCTCATTGGAAAATTGTATCATTGCAAGATTAAATAAAAGCTGAAATTAGCTAATGAGAAACTGAAGATTCTCTATATGAGACTCCCTAAGATTTTGGCTGTGGGAAGAGTCTTGGGAAGGAATATTTTAACTATTATTTGGAATAGGTTTGTGACTGATATTCAAACATTTGCATGTATAGAAAGCCAGACATGCAAAAATGTTTGAAAAGATGCAGTCTAATTTGTTCTATCATAGACTGTAGCTGCTCTTCTCTTCTTGTGAAATCTTTTTTTCTTTCTTTATTTTTTTTTTTAGGTAGTCATGAAAAGGAATTTTTGCACTTTTATTCACATTGACTGCCAAGATGAAGGAGCTGATTCCACCAACTTCTTAAGTTCTCTTCTGAGGAATGCTTATGGCAACACTTGTTACTCCACCTGACAACATCTATTAGGCAGCAGAATGTATTTCTTCTGGTCTCCACCAAATCTTTGGTGTTACAGCACTATAGTAAGACAGTTATGTTCTATGGGCCCCATAAGATCATTAGATGACCCAGAGAGCAATCTGTACTTGTACACAACTATCCTATCCTCTGAATGTGCCAGACAGAATAATCAAGTATGAAAAAATGATTAGCTTCTGGTGGACCTAGATGTTAGAACTGGTATGTATATATGACATGTAGTGTTGGAAAGCGGGTTTTTAAGACCCTGTAAAAGGGAGAAGAAATAATGGACCTGATTTAAGAGCCAGGGGGGTATGTGCTAGGATAGGAAATTCTTGGCTGTGAGAGTAGGGGGGGATTAGATCTGTGGTCAAAAGTCTCAGTAGAAAGGAGTTCATTACTACCATCTCACAAGAAAAGAATAGCAAAAAGCTTTATGAAACCTCAAAGAACTGATGTTCTACCAAGGCCAGACAGCCTCTGCCACCATCCAAAACTGAGCCAGAAACCAAATAACCCAGATGTATTTGCAGATGTGCAAGTAATTATTCTAGGGCAACCATGTTGATCACAGCTTTTGGGTATAAAACTAAAAAAATATTATCTGATGATGTGATTCGTGGAGCCTGATTTTCTGTGAAAGGATCTGATCAGATAGTATTTAATCTTAAGAGGTATTTAAAATTGATTTATCACAAACAGATTGATTTGATTCTGCAAGATGCTCTGGGCTGTGCTTACATCTAAGATACAGGTCACTGTGTGACATGGCATTTTGAAACTTTATTAGCATTTAAATAAAAAGTGGAGGTAATATCAGTGATACCATATTGCTGAGCATCATGCTCACCAACACAAGAGTGTCTTAGTTTTCGTAAGTTTGTTTTTAAACCAAAATGCCTCAAGGCTTGCACGCATCATCACAACCTCTGTAGTGGAGATAGCTATCTACTAGGTGGGTATTATGACTGAAATGGGTATTAAGAGAGAAAAAGGTTTCTAAGTGCTGAGCTCAGAGATGATGAGTGTAAGTAGCTCCAATTTCTCTCCTTGCTCAGATATGGGGATGCTGAAGATGAGAGCTTTATATCTGCAATACCCTGGTAAAACAACTCATTCAATTGGATGTATAAATATTTATTTGTATGTGTCTTGTGTGCTCTTCAGTGAAAAATACAGCTACAAAAATGTCACAAACAAGCATACTGATAGCAAGTGCATTCCTGTTTCCCTAGTTTTTGCCAGACTTCTATGATGGTCAGCGCATCAATGGACAATGGAAGAGCCACTGATGTCACCTGTCAAAAGTTCAGTAAGGCCTTTGACACTATCCTGCATAACATCCTTCTCTCTAAATTGGAAATACAGGTATTTGGTGGGTGGACTGTTCAATGGATGAGGAATTGGTTGCAAATTCTTATCAGTAGTGGTCAGTGGAGATCAGTGACAAATGGTGTCCATCAGGGGTCTGTACTGAGACTGATTCTCTTTAATCTTTTGAGTTGGAAGGGACTCTTAAAGATCACCTAGTCCAACTCCCCTGCAATGAAAAGTGACATCTGCAGCTAGGTCAGATTGCTCACAGCCTGCTCCAGCCTGACCTTGACCGTCTCCAATGACAGAGCATCCACCACATCTCTGGGCAGCCACTTCCACTGCCTTTTTTACAATAAAGCATTGGAACAGGTTGGCCAGAGAGGTGGTGGATGCCCTGCCCCATCCCTGCATACACTCAAGGTCAGGCTGGGCTGAGCTCTGAGCAACTTGATGTAGCATTAGAAATCCTTGTCCGTTGCTGGGGAGTTGGACTAGATGACCTTTAAAGGTCCCTTCCAACTCAAACAACTCTGTGATTCTATAACTGGGAAAAAACAGTGTCAAATAAAAGCTAAGAAAACATTTTCAAGTCTACTTGAGCCTTTCTAAGCAATTATTATCTGTATTTAAGCCATTGTAAAATCTTAAATTCTCCAGTTTTTTCCCCTCACAATCTCTGCTTTTAAAGCCTTTACTCTTCCTATTTCCTTCCCCCTTTTTACTCAGTGGTGTTTGAACAGTATGCAGTATCACAGCTTTACAAGAACACTGTAAAAGTAAGCCCATCTCCAGACAGGGAAACAGTCTCAGTAGATGCACAGCAGGATAAACAGTCTTCCAGACATAGCACTTCCAAGTGCAAACATGGAGCAGAAAACTAGGAGATAAATGGAACTCTCAGAACTTGGTGTCCTCCATAAAGCATAGTCAGGAAATACAGAGATGGCATGCTAAAATGCAGCTGCTTTTATTACCTGGTTCACATAGTTGCTTAAAGCAGCAAGTCAGGATGCAAAGAGAGGAATATATATTGTTGTTATCAAATATCTCAGTGTATCTGCATCTGAAAAGCAAGAGAGTGCCTTGTACCAGTAATGACATTGTTTGATGATAAGTTTTGGATAGTTTGTAATAATTTGAGTCATTCTGCAATGCACTTACCATACAAAAATGGCAAAGGAAAAGGTCAATTACTTTAATACAAATACTGCAAGCCTACAAATTAAGCTGAACAGATGAAAACAAGGTAGAGGGGGAAGAAAAATGAAGAAAAAAGAGGAGGTTAAAAAAAAAAAGAGAGAGAGAAAGAAAAGAGAAATCAGAGATCTCAAATATGGCTTTTTCTACCTTTATGTTCCAAAAATACTGATATTTAAGTTGATTACTTTTTATCTTAATTTGTATTTTTTTCTGATGAGTAATGGTTTATAAATATTTTGAATTAGACTTCAGTGATAGTTCTTGTTTCTGCATGTAACTGCTTTTGCACTGAGGAGGAAGGAGAATGCTTGGAATATACTGCAAGATGACAAACAAAATGGCAGAAGGAAGCAAGTGCAGTTGATACCAGTAAGATGCTTGTCTTCTGGTACTGTATTTCCCCATTGGACACAGCTACCATATGGAACCTTTTACATCTTTATCTTTTCACCAGTAGCATCTCTGAATGAATATTTCTCACTGCCACTATTCCTTAAGCTTGATCAGCTTACATGCCCCATGGTAACTGTTGAGGGTTACTGATGGGTCATTCATCCATCAGAATTAGCTGCCAGCTATTCCAGGCATGCAGATAGATGGAAGGGAGATACCAGATGAGATGTGACAGCTTTCTGCTTCTGCAGTGAGAATAGATGAGAGCTGGAGAAAATGCTGATGGTAAGTGGGGGGAGCAAGGATGTAAACGTAGGGGCAAAATGTTCAAAAGTCATCCTTCCTTGATCACTTTTTCCAGTTCCTGTTTACCTTCCCCTCTCCCCCTCACAGTATTTTATTCCTGTTTTGCATGGCTGCTATCAGCAGAAATGCTGCAGTGTCACTAGGGTGAGGATTGAATCTTCATATGGATTTTACTTTCTATTAGTTTCTCAGAATCACAGAATTGTAGGTGTTGGAAGGAAGATCTGATCTCTGGAGATTAATTAGTTCAATCCCCTCTGTTAAAGCAGATTCCATTTCCGTGCATTTATCCACCAATCTGCAGTTCAGTAAGGAGAGAAAATATTACTCCTTACTTTAGTTTGGTGAAGTGCTTCAACTGCTCCTCATTTTCCCAAGGTATAACACAGATAATGTGGATTGACATCAAGGCATGTTCATGACTTTCTGTATATTCTGAGCAGGAGGATCAGCTTCTCTGCTTCATGATACAGAAACTGGGGAGCCACGCTGTGTGTCCAGAGTGAGTGCCTGAGGTCCTGCTGGTAAGGCACAACATTCCACTGCCCTCCTTTTTTTCAACTAAAGGCAGGAAGAAATGTCAAGGAGACTGGCAAGAATATCTGTCTTCTCAGCAATGTCCCCAGCATACATCTTGCTTTGCCTGACCGGGGCATGCTATCACCAGCATGTCTAATTCCATTGTGTGTCGCAAGAGCCGGAGATGAGGGGAAGAGAGAGCAGGGGAAATGAAGCAATTATTTGTCTTTCAGTGTTGGAAGTGTCAAGAGAAAGACAAAGTGTTTGATTCTACAGCATTTGAAGTCTAAGACATGCTTACCCTGGAGGTTTTTAATACCAAATTTACTTGTGGTAGGTTTCCAATTTTTACTGAGCACTTTTTAAAATTAAAATTTGGAAATGAAACAAAATTTGTTTTCAGTCTTAAGTCATTACCACATCAAACAGCCTGAGAGAGAGGTAAAAAAAAACATCTACTATACAATGAAACCAACAGTTATATTCAAGGTTAATAACCTATTATATTTTACTTACATTATGAAAAAAAAAAACAAAATAAATTGCAAACTAATTGATAAATTGATGATGTTGATTAAAAAAAAAAAAAAAAAAGAAGGATGGATAGTTATTTGTCCTTTAAAATAGCATTTAGTATATAGAAAGCAGACCTGGATTTTCTAGAAGGAAGAAACATTTCATATTAGGTGGCTGGGATGAAATACGACTTCATATGTATAAATGTGACCTGTTGTGCACACAAACTTGTATTTCTTTTGTTGAATAAAATGCAGATGTTTAGAGAGCACCCAAAGAAGAAAGTCCATAACTTTGTGTCCATAACTATGTGTCCATAACTGTACACTGGGAACCCAAGTTCTGTATCACTAGACTTTGTAGGTAGGCCCTGTGGACAAACGTATTGAAGTTACACCAGTATACACATGAGCAGGATTGTGCCCAATGCCTTCAGATAGGTTTTCAGGCAGATTTTCCAATTCCTTTTTGTTTCCAAATTCAAGCTGGATTTTAATTGGGCTGGATGTTTGCCACCTTATCAGAGACATGTTTTGACTATGTCTCTAAAACACTGCTGGAGGCATGAAAAGCATCCTACACACTCAACATGGTGGGCCTAGACAGGGACTGTGGTGGCAGATTAAATTCTGACACTCAGAAGTAGTTTTAATTGTCAACGTTAGGAATATATGCAGAATACGTGCACCTAAATATTCTCCTGCTGCTTAAAATGTACTTAGATTCTTACACAGTATGTTTCTTCTTGTAACAGTACAATTAGTTTACAGACTTGGTGGTGAACAGATTAAATTTGTTCTTACAGGCTAATTTTCAGGCGTTTTGAATTGTCTGTTTGGTTTTACCTGCCTGAGAACCAAACCCCAATGCCTCCTCCATCCTCACCCTGGGTTACTAAGAAGACTGCAGACTAAAGCTGAAGGAACAATTACAGTAAATCTAATCTACCCGGAGGTAGATGCAGTCAAGTCTCCTTCAAGCTCAGATGTTCCTTGCTGTGAGGGAAAACACATCAAATGCTGGTCAGACTGGGTGTTTTTTCTGACTCTGACACAGTATTGCAAAAGGTTTTTAGACACTTCAGCCCACTGTGCAGCGCAGCAGACAACATGAACACATTGCTGAGGGCACCTGCTTAGCTTTTAACATATTTCACTACATCATATAAGACAGTCCCTTTGCTCCACTCACAGTAGAGGAGGCACAGAGCTCTGTTCCACATCTCTTATCACTTAGCAGGAAGAAGTAGTTTCAAATTGCTGGTTTTTGCTATGTATGTGAAGTTATATTAACAGAATTAAATGAGCACAGAATTCTTTATATTGCTCAAATACGTTCTGAAATTGTGACTGAAGTTTACCGAATCTGAAGGAAACCATTTTGCACATGCAGAGGGGCCACACCTCTGCTGCAGACTCAAATACCTTGCCAACGTTTGTTTACAGCAAGGAGAGTAGGTCTATGGGTATACAGATTGGATCCACAACTACATGATACCATGAAAAAAATTGCCTTTAGCTGGGGCTTTATCACTTGAGTTATTTCCTACAGTGAGAAAGCAGGTACCAATTGCACTGTAAAAAGAATTGCTAAGACTCCACCTGGAAAAATCAGCACAGATCTGGTGTTCATCACTTAGGGAAGAAGAGTTTAAACTGGAACAGACCCACAAAGGGGTTACTGGGAGGACTGGGGAGTGGTGAATATTATCAAACAAGTGCAGAGTAGAAAAATTCAGTTTGTTTAGTCTAGTAAAATGAAGACTTGGAGGGGATACGGCTGTTTATGCTTCCTTTCAGGCAGTTAGAAACCATAGTGCTACTTAAGTTCAAAGAAAACACTAGCACAAGAACAAATGGATGTAAACTGTCTTTCATGCAGCCCTTTTATCCTGCACTGCATTCAGAACCCCACCAAGCAGGGCAAGGGAGGTGGTCTTTCCCTTCTCAGCAGTGGTGGAGCAGCATCTGAAGTGCTGGGACCAGTTCTGAGCTCCACAGTACAGGAGAGACCCAGACCTAACGGAGTGAGACAGCAAAGATGATGAAGTGACTGGTGCTGCTTGCCTTATGAGGAAAGGCTAAGAAGGATGGGATGTTTAGCCTGGAGAACACTCAGGGGCATCTCATCAGTGACTGTAAATTCCTGAAGAGAAGGTCCAGGGAGGATGGAGCTGGACTCCTTTTAGAGGTACTCAGTTCCAAGACAGCAGGATGGCACTGAGGACTGAGAATTACAGCGATAAATCTAACTAATTTTAAGGGAGAGCTTGATTCCCTGACTGTGATAGCAGGGATGCTGTGCTGCTGACCCCATCAGACACGCCTCTGTACAGCCTTCCAACATTACAGACATGAGAACAGTTTATAACAGTGAAAGGGGAAGGAAAAAGATTTGTGCTGTTGGGAAAGGAAGACTGTAAGGTCACAAATTACAAACGGACATTGCCTACATATTGTTATTAGCATATTAGTGTAAACATTAGTATAAATTAAATTAGTGTAAACATATTATTAGTATAAATACTAATCTCTGAGAAGAACTATATGTTAAATTTGCAGAGATTTATCATTTTTCTTTTTTTTTTTTGTCTTGTACATGTAATAGGAATCAGATGCCTATTCTTAGAAACAAGACTCCCATAGCTGCGTTCTAACATTATTTACAATTCAAATCTGTAGGCAGGCCCCAGCAAACTGAAGGCAAGGACAACTCTCCCATTATTCCTCCTGCCCCACAAATTCTCACCCCTCTTCATCACTTCCATAAGGAATGTCTGGTATGCAAGCACCAGTCCACTGCCCTTCTGTTGCAGCTGTGAGTACAGAATTGAGACTAAGGGTACTTGTGAGCTGGGGGCAGTTTAAAAATGCTGCCCAGAGGATCACAATCGTTACTATGCATTTGCTAAGTGTAGGTGTGTGTCCTATCATGGGTACAAAAACTGTCTAAGTCTCAATGTCTAGTCAGTCAGCAATAAGATATTAGTTGGGGTCTATCTAACACAGCAGTACTTGAGCCCTATTCTCAGGAATGTGCTTTTTGCTCAGTAGGGATGAATCAGAAAGCTGTAAATATGTGCAGTCTAGTACATGTCAGCAGCCTCTTAGAACAGAAGTGCAACATTTCCATTAACCCTTATGCACTCAGTCACACTCCCCTTGCTGCTCTCAGATGGAAGCAAAGATTTGCTGGCTGCCCACCTGCTGGCCTTGGGCCTGGGCTCTGCCCCTCGTGCTGCCCTTGGGAGGAGGAGGGGAAGGAGGGGGGAGCACAGGCACCAGGTGTGCCTACTAAGCAGAGCTAGTAACCATGCTGGCTAAGCCAAAACTTCCCCTTATGCAATTACTTCTTACTCATGCCCACAGATACATGTGTATCTTTCTGAAGTGCAGAGAAGAAAAGAAGCTGTCCCTTCAAAGAGACTAGAGAACAGCAAGCATGGGGAGGAGTGTGCTTAAGAAAGCTGAGTGAGTCAAAGTCTTCAGAGAGGAGCTGAAACTGTATTTGTTTGAAGAGAAGAATCACAGAATCACAGAATGGCCAGGGTTGAAAGGGACCTCAAGGATCATGAATTTCCAACCCCCTTGCCACATGCAGGGCCACCAACCCCCACGTTTAATGCTGAAGCAGGCTGCCCAGGGCCCCATCCAACTTGGCCTTGAACACCTCCAAGGACGGGGCATCCACAACCTCTCTGGGCAGCTGTTCCCGTACCTCACCACTCTCTGGGAAAAGAATTTCCCCCTGATGTCCGACCTAAAACTCCTCTACAATCCAATTGTTGCACTGACGCACAAGGGAAAGGTCACAGCCATGTGCCCCTCGTGCCTCCCCATAGTACCCAAAGAAATAGATGCAGAAACCCTCAGCTGGGATGTTGTTGGTGGTGTTTATTTTCTTAAAAACAGGAACGTCTTGGCCTCTCGCTGTTGTCATCAGAGTGGAAAGTATTTGGCTAGACGCTATTGTCGTATGGGTGGCCATGGCTGTGCCTCCCTCAGCTGTTGGATGGGTGGCACTAGCTGTGGCTGCCATGGCCGTCTGACTGGTGGTCGTGTCTGTGTCTCGAGCTGCGGTCTGAATGCTGGCCGGAGTTGTGGATCCAATGGCCGTCTTATCGGTGGCCATGTCTGTGCCTCCCGCAGCTGCTGGATCAGTGGCTGGAGCTGTGGCTCCCATGGCCGTCTGACCGGTGGTCACCTCTGTGTCTCGAATCGTGCTCTGAACGGCGGCTGGAGCTGTGGCTCCCGTGGCCGTCTGACCGGTGGTCGTCTCTGTGTCTCGAGCTGCGGTCTGAGTGGTGTCTGGAGCTGTGGCTCCCGTGGCCGTCTGATCGGTGGCCAGGGCTGTGCCTCCCGCAGCTTCTGGATCGGTGTCTGAAGCTGTGGCTACCGTGGCTGTCTGATTGGTGGCCACGGCTGTGCCTCTCACAGCTTCTGGATCGGTGTCTGGAGCTGTGGCGCCCGTGGTCGTCTGACCGGTGGTCGTCTCTGTGTCTCGAGCTGCGGTCTGAGTGGTGTCTGGAGCTGTGGCTCCCGTTGCTGTCTGATCGGTGGCCACGGCTGTGCCTCCCGTCATTTTGCCCATGTCTGGCATGCCTGGGCCTCTCAACCCCCTCCATGGGCACCTCACGATCCAGTGCCAGGTGCGGGATGACGAGCCCCAGGCCCCAGACTCCGCACGGGACCCTGCTGGCTGTCGGGGCATCTTGAGGCGGGCCCACCTCCATGGGCTCCTCGGCATCCACCGCTGGACGGGGGATGAGGAGCCCCATGCCATTTTGTCCCCAGGCGGCATTGCTGGGCATCGCGGTCTCCGCTGCGAGCCTGACCATTGCCTGCAGGAGATTCCTCTCACGGCGAGCGTGATGAGCTCTCCATCCTGGCAGCGGGCGGCAGAAAAGACCGCTCTTGGAAAGCTTCGCGTGCCTGCGCAGCACGCGATTCTTGGGCTGATGAAGCACGGGTGTGGTCTTCATCTTGTCCCCTCCTGGAGACTAGAGACTAGTCTCTAGTGGGCTGCACAGGGCACCGGACGCAAGAGCGATGGCTGTGGCTCCACGCAGCAGTGCCTCTCGT